TTAATGTAGGTGAAGAGTGAAGATCTATGTCTGAAGTGCTATTGCAGCTTTTCACTGAACATATTAACTTTTTATTTGATATAACTTTAGAAGAAAACTTCGTCGACTCCATCATCAAAACAATTTTTACTTTTTTAACGTGTTTTATTATTTTAATAAACAATTTTACAATTTGCGTGCACAGTTCCTATGTAAATATTTCCCTCCTTCGAGTTATAAATTTTGCCACCAGATGGTGTATGCCCATTTGACGGATCCCAATAAATAAATTTTTCTATTTTAAAACATGAACATATTATACGTTTGCACTAATATGAAATTACAATTGCAAAGTCAACGAAATGTTAGACTTACCTTTCCGAGAACGACCCCATGTCAGTTGTGACAGTTGACGACGTCTTAACGATAGATGGTCATGTAACCACGAATATTTCAGCACGGTCATAAGGCGAATCCTGAAAAGATAAAAATGATCCTTAAGGATAACGGGTAAGGAAATATCCATTCATCAAAATGTCAGGTACACTGATTGCTTTTACGTTAAAGCGCGTCGGAATTCCTTTATATAGAGGAAATAGAATTACTGTTCACGAAAAACTGATGTTTTTATTTTGCTAACAAACTAATTTATGCGCTCGTTGCCTACCTCCCTTAATAAATATATCGCGCGCCATCTACAGTTAAATTAGTTTACCAGAATGGCAGATAACTGATAAATATTGATAAAGATTTGGAATATACCTATATCGTAGCCTACTGTTATTATTTGCTGTGTCTAGTGCTTGTATAAAAATATTCCACTAATTTCCTTACGATACAAACTCGCAATCAAATAATAAAATAACCAATTCCAAAGAAATATAACAACAAAGACTTAGAGAATGGAACATTTAAAATGAGTTTTTTTACTGTAATTATCTGCGGACGGTAAACCCATCACGATAAAATAATAAAGTTGTTTCGGGAACAGAATTTGCATTTTCGTTTAATGATTTAACTAAAACATCGCGCATCGGCAGAAGTCTTTTACTAATTTAAATTAGGGCTGCTCTCAAATAAACCTTTCTGGTTGTATATTTTAATCTTAATTATCGTCAGAACGCCTTTCGACGCGGCATATTTCAGTTAGAATAGACAATTTGCTTCTAATATTTATTAGAATCTGTGTAAATTAATTTTAAGTTCGATTTAAAATTAACATTTTTAGGTAACTTATTATTTCTTTAGAATTACCAATATGCATTTAAAATTTAAAGAAACTAAAGTAACTGCGTAGTGTCTTAATTATTATAAACACTAGTGTAGGATAAAACTTTTTCTAATTTAAAATATAACGATTTACTTAAAAACTATTGTTACTTATTTGTTGATAATCAATAAATAAATAAAAATCAGATTTCATCATTATCCTACATTTTTTTATATCTGAGGCAAATATTTAATCATACAGTCGAAATTTTTTGTTCTCTTTCTTAAGCTCCCTTGTTTTGTTGAAGCTCATTAAGAGCAATAATAAATCCTGCCTGTCTTATAAAGGCTTTATTTTAAGTAGTACACAAGGTCCTGAGGGTACTTTTCAAATGACTCAAAATATTAGGCTCCAGTTTGTATAAAGAATACGTCAGCATTATTTTTGGAACAAAAAACACAGGAAAGTAAATAAAAAATTTCAGCGATTTGGAGTCTTGAGGTAGTTATCTGAATTAATTTTTAATTTATGTTAGGTTTGTAGTTGTCATCAACATTACTAGAATATACCCAATGTTAATAGCATAGCATATTATATAAGTATATCTACCGAAACATGTGTTCAAGAGGCTACGTTATCTGAATTTCCTTCTTCAGGAAAACATGCATATAGTTAATATGTCCGTCAATTCTTAAGGTAGATTACAAAATACTGCTCGTTAATAATGTATTAATGAACGATATCGTTAATGAATTTACTTATTTACCCACAACTCATCACACACGTAACATTTTTCTGAAGCACAACTGTTATTCTTTAATTAAAAAATAAAAAAAGTCTCACGTTGATAATGCCCACATTAAAAAGTGGGCTAAATTCATGTCCGCAATAATCAATTTGTAGTAGTAGTTTGAATGAGTCTCTCTTTTATTTTTTAGTTAGCCATTTACCACAGCCTCTAATTTCTACTTTGTTATTGTTTAATTGATTTTTGATTAAGTACCTAAAATAATGGAAACAATTAGATTTAGAATTAGAGAAAAGTACAAAAGGTCATTGTTATTGTTTACTTTACTTTATATAGATACTACCTTGATTAAAAGCTGAATATTTTATATTGCTGCTGTTCTTATAAATTATAAACGAAATTAAAAGCTCAAAAGCTACAAAACAAATATAAAAGGCTTTTAATATTACTTTGTAATCAGTGGAGTATCTGTTGACTTCATTTCCGCTATTTCTTGTTTCTATCCCCTTCAATATTTTATTTACATTCATTTAATATCTCAAAATAATTTGCTACCTGTTAGGCTGGATCCGCACTATAAGGTCGATCACGGTTGTGTTCGCGGATAGATTTCGGTCTGGTAAAATATTATCAAATAAGAAACAATGTGTGCATTCATACCATTCCTAACAAAAGTCAAGTTCCGGTCGAATTCCATTCCAGTCGCGACCAGTCTTGAAGAAATTTGAGTGATATCGAACTTGTCACGACATGTATCGATAGTATGAGTGCTCTTTTGTTCCCGGTTCAGTCAGCTATTACCCTTTGAAGTGACAGTCGCGTTAAATTTTTCTTCGTCATGAATTAAATGACGATAGAGGGTGTAGTATTCTCCCTCCACATTTCTCTCCTTATTTCATGTTTTTTTCTTGCATTGATAATATTGTCTTGTTACATTACATTACAAGATGTTTAATACGTAAGGTTTATTTTATTATTAATTATGAGCCAAATACATCCGACTTCGATTATTGACGGTTCAAGACAATCGTACTGAGTCAGATTGTCCAATGTGAACATGATTAGATTTTACCAGATCGAGATCGAGCCGTGATCGACCTTATAGTGTGGATCTAGCTTTAGTCAATCGTCTTTATATGTTTAAATGAAACCAGAACTTACAACAAATCAAGTCTACTCTACTATTTCGAAGCTAGTAAATGAATTTTCGAAATAACGCTAGTACATTTTACCAAGAAAATTATCAAGTTTAATTCAAATGTATAGCGAAACTACATTTTGAAGTGAAGCTATTAAGTCCCTTAACTCTGGTATTCAAAAAGATGAGGTCTGCCGTAAAGTGGAAACGTATTTTGTTAATATCCTGCTTCATATATGTATATGTACATTAGGTACAACACTGTATGCTTGCATTCATAAAATTCAAACGTACTTTTAGCAGACGCAACCTGAATGACCCGTGAACAAGAATTTCGTATTTGCCTCCGAGGGAGGTTTTAATGGTATTGAAAATCAAATATGTGCGCCTTTTACACTGAAAGAATTTGTATGAAAAGTCCAAAGGTGCACTTTTGTACCATTTCCATATAAAAACCACTAGAGCAAATGATACAATCGAAAACATAAAAGGTTTTCCCCTTTTAAATGTTTTCAGATTGAATGTTCAAAAATTTCAGGAACTGAAAACATAGCAAATGTGGCTTTCAAATTAAGCCCATCCTACATCATTTGAATGGACCATAAACAGAATGTTTTGTGCAGAAACTGAATTTATAGAGCATTAAAAATACTATAACTGCTTATCAACACCGATAATTACACAATGTTAAAGTAACTTTCCGTTGGGATACACATATGGGCAAGGTTGCATTCTTTTTCTCATTTGTACATAAAGTAAGTGATGAGGAAAAGAAAGAGCAAGACTATATTAATATACCGTCACATGTAGGCAACCTACCATCAGTGAACTAAGGTCAGGGGTGGCCGAGTTTGCTCTAATAAAAAAGGCCAGAATTCTCTACAACATAGATTCTTAAAAAGAATCTTTCTAGAACAAGTCCTCACAGTCGAAAACCCCCCTTCCAGATTTTACGTACCACCTTGCCCCCCACAATCAACTTCCTGAGATTTACAACATCTTCCTCTCAAAAAATGTCACTTATTCCGACGATTACAAAATCCTCCTACGAGTGCCCTCCAATTCGCACAATAGCGGAACTAGACGAAGCTGTGAATCTCATCAAAATCTGCACAACCCTCACCGCAGACATTCTTGCCCTCGTTAACAAAAAAACCCGCTGTATATCGCAATCCTGCACACCGTGCCAAGCTAAACGCCCTCCAACGATAACACTCTCCTCATTGAAGGCAGCCCCTCTTTCGACAAATACATCGCTCAGACAGAAAAACACTTCGAAAGCACTTGGAAAGTGAACCGCTAGCTCCGAAACAGCCTCCCCATCTCCCGTTACTAAAACAAACGGCTCTCTATATACTTCAGATGAGGAAAAATCTGTAATTTTCGCAGACTCTCTCTGGCTTCGGTGATGCCCACTACTCAGCGCTGTGAATCTTGCCGACTTTCATGAACAAGCTAAAGCTGCCTCCCAAAATTTCAACCCCTCCGTCTCCGACTTTAAACACATGCCCCCCTCCGCGAAATCTCCCTTTCTATACGATTTCTGAAAGTTGAAAACCCTCTGCGCAGTTGGAATTCCTATCGGACGAACCTAAAAGTCCTGTCACCAAAACACAGAACTGCACTCCTCAACATTACAAACCCTATCATGCGACTCCACCACTTCCGTCTGGTCTGTAAATAAGCCATTGTGGAGAGAAACAGCCACCTCTCCTATTTCAACATGATTTCCGCAGGCACAGTAGGACACCGGCTATAAACTTCTCCGCGTTTCCCAGCACACTTTCAATAATTTAAACAAGCGCCGTCACACTTTCATGCTACTGCTTGGCATCCAGCAAACCTTGGCACGACGATCTCATCTCCAAGCTTACCCGTCATGACCGGTATCCAAAACTCGAAGTTGTCACCCCTTCTGTTCAACCTATTTTGCGCAGGTAAGAAACACCCAAATTCTGAAAGAAACTGGTCCATCTTCACTTCCCTAGCCTGCATTTCCGTTTCATCTCCCATACTGGATCCGCTTTCTCTTCCCAACGATTTTCATAGAACCTTCCCTGTAAAACGTCTGGGTTGATCTCCCTGTTGTAACCGTAACGCGCTTGAGTGCATCAAGGGGTGTCTTTTGAAAAAAAAACAAAAGAAAAACTGTTCTAGTTATGAGACGGTAGAATCCAAAATAAGAAGAACGAAGAAGCACATCAATGGCCGATATGGTAAAAACATAGGTAATAAATAATTATTCATTGTGCTGTTGGTTGAAAATTAATTAGAAAATTAAATTAGGTAGAATTCGAAAGGTAGGTGTTTATATTACGCGACAATATTCTTTGTGATGGTCTTGGTCTTTCTTTTCGACAATACGTCTTTATCTTGATCT